TGTCTATACGCGTAACAAAAAATTATTAAATAATTATATTAAATAATTGTTAAAGAATTAATTGTGAAAAAATAAATATGATATCGAACCAGTTAGTTATATAATATCAATTTATAATCGTTTTAAGGTTCTTATAATTCGTATCCTATAAAGCACATTTCGTACAATCTATACGGTCTAAAAGAAAATTTATTACGTTATGTAAATTTTTAAGTTTCTCTTTCACATAAATATTAATGAACTTAAAACCAAAGTAATATATATATATAAACTTGATATACCCTAGTCGCTATTAAGATGCGTGAATTTCATAAATTTATAGATTATTTCACTACTTTTTTTAGTAATTAAACTTTGCAAGTTTAAATTTTAAATATATTATATATTATCTTGAGAGAGGATAATATATATATATATAAATAAGATAATTACATACAAATATTTACACATTTAATATATTAGATCTGTATATAAATTTTTGAGGTTGAATTTAAATGGCGCTGCAATTTAAATATATCATTTCTTCTATTTTTTATTTTTCTAATTTTTACATTAAATATTGTTTATTTAAAAATAAACTTTGGTTGAGCCAGTTTTTAATAATTACAAAAAACACAAAAAAAAGGAAAATAGTTTACATAAAAAAAAGAGAGAATAGATATTTATAAAATCAAATTAATACATAGTTAAAATTTGACGAAAAAAAATAACGGGATGTATCATGGGATCATAAATATAATTTACATGGGATCCCGGAATCTTCAACAAATTCCCGTTAGAGAGATCTCCCATCGGATTCATCCGAGGAGGGAAGATGCAAAATACAATTGTAATGCAATCCATTATCAGAAAACAATCGATTGTTGGTGAAATTAATTGAATTCGTAATAAAAAGAGAAGCAATTCACCAACAGAAATGCACAACAAATATTGTGAATGATCATTGAACGTGTAAAATATATTATTGTTTCATCAAATCGATATAATACTAGTTAACATTAATTAATACAAAAATAATTAATAATTAAATTTACTAATATATTAATTAATAAGATTAATATAGTTAATTAAAAAGTTAAATTAAACAGTATCTTCTGATGTTTGAATTTAAAAAATTACATTGAAAAAAATGTTACATAAATGCATGAAATTTTGTTGAATTATTTAAATACATATATATCTATTGTAATTTTTTTAGAATATATTTACAATTATATACGTGGCAAAAAATTTTTTTTCAGACAAAAAGCTGAAATTATGACATATCAATTCTCTAGTTTTTTTTTAAATAATATGATTTTGCGCGTCGAAAGAAATAAATTTCGAAAGAAAAACTCGCAGCCTTGAGATTGTCGATAGCGAAAGGATAAAAGACTACTAATAACTTTACGCAACGTAATTTTGCAATTATGATTCACGTTGTTTCTCTTGTCTATTCTACTATCTCTAACGGTAGCAAAATCTAATGACTGTATTCAAAACCGCCTTCTCAAAGGATAGATTCTGCACACGCATACAAGCTTTAAATATGCAAGAACAATACCGTTGTTTAGCGATTGTATAATAACTCGCTGTAATTATTAATAAGAAAATGTAATATAACAAATCTCTCTTGCTTTTCTCTTTTTCAGCTTAATTATATACAGACATTTAAATGTCTAATTTGTGTTTTAAAAAATAAAATTAATTTAAATTAAATATAATAGTATAAAAGATAAATTAAATGTACAAACTGTGATTATATAAATATGATTATATAATCAATACACGAGAGAACACGAATATATATAAAACTATAATATAATTATATTTTATATATAAGTAATACAATTATATATAAAACTATATATAAAAAAATAAACTGTGTTTAAAAATAAACACTGTAAAATAGTAAAACTTATTTTTTTTCAATTAAAATTAAAGTATATTTGTTAAAAAATAAATAAATAAAAATAAACTGCATTTTCTAGAATTCTAATCATTAGCAGCGTTAATTTAAAATTTTATATATACATATATGTATAATACAATAATTTAGTTAGTTAGAATTAAGGAAATGAAAAAAGAACACGAATATATATTTTAAAATATATAAAAAATATAAATAATATATAATTATTATAATATAATACAACAAGTGCTATCATCTCTATTGTTGATATGCATACTATATGCATAATAATATGTAATAACGAATCATAAGATTGAAAGATTAAATTAATGAAAAGCAACGTAATTATGTAGCAACCGTTTAATTAATATTTAATTTATGCTCGTGTTATATAATACTTACATATTTTAGAAGGATTTAAAGCATTGGACAAAATACAGGTATTTGATTCTATTGAACTAATTATTATATCTAGTGTAAGAATCGCGATAATTGAAAGATCATAATCAAAAGATCGTAATCATTTCTAATTTTTGTCCTCGTTATGTCGATTTTTATTTGTAATAAAATGAACGATCGTACTTTGATAAATATATTTATCGATCATGACACAGTTTATCAAGAATCTACAAATTTACAAAGGCCACATCTTCATTTTTTTTATCTGCTAATTGTTAAGTACAATAATCTGCTAATCGTTAATTATGATAACCATATTAGGTTATTTTCCGATACTTATCGCGATCGTGTTTAGAAAAGGAATTTGATGGAATGTTTTTACACCACTACTTACATAACAAGGCCGTGATATGTAATGATATCGCATTTTATTCCGTCATCAAGGCCGAACATTAATCGATAATTCATTGCTAAAATATTTTAATATTTTAATGAAATATTTTAATATAATATTATTAATTTAATATAATTTAATATAATTTTAATATAATATTTTAATAAAATATTTCGGTAACAAATTTTTCATAATTAGCGCGTTATTGTTGACGTTCTTCGACTTTATTTATCACTCATTTGTCATTCACGTATCGATTGAAGCAATAAAGTAGTAGGGGAAAATGCTTTTTTTTATATTATCGAATTATTATTTCTAAACACAATCGCAATTAATATCAAAATATAACAATTGTTATGATTATTATAATTAACGATTATTAAATTTTTATTTAAATATTTACTTTTATTTTGTTGAATATTATTTGTCTTATTTTATTTTATTAAATATTTATTAAATATTATTTACTTTTTTATTTTCTTATTATATTATATTATAATTATTAAACTTTTGCTAATTGACATGAAACTGTATTACGATAAATCTTTATCAAAGTGCGATTATTCATATTATTAAAAATTTATTGCAAGTAAAAATCGAAGTATTAGAAATTATAAATATGATTTTTATACTATTTTTACGAATAATATTTATTTCTCTTATGAAATGCTCAAATATATTTTGTTCGATATAATTTAAATTTTATTAAAAAAAGACATACATTAATTATTAAATCAACAATTGTTATATTTATCGTGATTTTTTTTAATTTTAATGTTTCAATCTTATTCTCTACGTATTATTGTATTATGTTACAAAATTATGTAATGCAATAATCTCCTTTCCTACCGGTTTACCTTGATGTGTGAATTCCAGTATCTGAATAGTTAATCCTTATGGTTTATCTATCTTTTCACATAAAATAAAAAAATGAAGATGTGGCCTTTGTAAATTTAGTATGCCGTCATAAAAAAAACTTATATACGAGTTGCATAGCAGTAAAATATATGTACACAGTATTGCTATTTCTCAGATATATATATAAATTATAATATTTGATAAATAAGTGAAATATCGATGATGTATTTTAAGAAATATACATTACAAAAAATATTAAAGAAATTTATTTTTAATATGCTATTACGTAGTTATATTTATCTTATATTATTCAGTATAAGAAGTATAAAATATTCAAATATGTGTCTGGGATAAAATTTTTATTTTACACTTACTTATATTAATTAAATATATACATATTTATTTATGTATTTATTATATTTATATATCAGAGAGCCTTTTTAATTTATTATTTAAAATTTTTAGGCTTATTTTTTTAATCGTTTTTTCGGTATATTTTGGCGTTACGCACACCAGGTGCTGTGTATAAAAATTTAAGTCCAATTCTGAGGGTAGCATTTCCTATACATTCCAGCGTCGCATATGCCAACATATAATTTCGTACAAAATTTTTTATATTTATTATTTACATTATTAGTATATATATATATATATATATATATATATATAATATTTATATATATCAGAGAGCCTTTTCAATTTATTATTTAATTTTTTTACGTTTTTGGTTTATTTTTTTAGAATCGTCTTTCGAATATATATTTTGACTAATATACATACATTTTTTATATATATTATATTTGATATATCAGAGCCTTTTCAATTTATTTAAATTTTATTTTTCTATTAATTCTTCAATTTATTATTATTTGTTTTTTATTATTTAATTTTATTTAATTTTATTTCAATTTTTGGCTTATTTTTTTACAATCATCTTTTCAATATATATTTTGACTTACACACATACATTTTTTATATATATTAATATATTTTATATTATAGCGAGTCTTTTTAATTTATTATTTAAATTTTACTTTTCTATTAATTTATTATTCAATTTTATTATTATTTATTTTATCGTTTATAATTATTTTATTATTTAATTTTATAAAAATTGTTGGCTTTATTTTTTTGGAATCGTCTTTCTTGTTATATTACACACAGATGTTCTGCGTACGAAAATCGAAGTCCAATTCCGAGGGTAGCATTTCCTATACATTCCAGCGCGGCATATGCCACAATAATTGAGAATCATGCGAACGCAACGCGGCTGACATCGAATCGAGCGAGCAGCTGATTTGTCATCGGCGCTGCTGGAAGAGCGTCGGCCTCGTCGCGCCACGCATGAGCGCGGCCGAGCGCGGCCGAGCGGCGGCGTGGCCGGCCGAAGATGCCCGAGCGCCGCGCCGCTCGCACGACGGAGCGAAGTGAGCGGCGAGCGGGCGAAAATTGCTGAAGTGTTCCGGCGCGAAAGCCGTTACCTGTCGGTCAGTCGCGGAGCGACAGTTTGCGCGTCGGTGCGCGGTTCCTCGGATTTTCGGTAAACGCGCGCGCGCGCGCGTGTGTGTGCGTTTGATAAAGAAAAAAAAAGGAGGAAAGAAAAAGTCGATCGTTATTCGCGGATGTACGCGCGCCACCGATCGACGTCGTCCGGCACCATCACGTCGCCTAATTAACGTCGTTAAGAGTGCTTGATTGCGAGCAGCCTGTTGTCGCGACGTCTTTTTCTTCTTCTGCCGGAAATGCAGCCGTTTAAAAACCGTCGTGACAATTTCTGCGCTCGTTATTACGGAACAGTGGCGGTGATAAGACTGGAATTCGAAGAATTTTGTCATCGCGGATGATATAACAGTGTAATGAGATTTGATTTTTAAGGTGAGATTGCAGAATTTTGTTTGACAGATTATTTTCCCAATTGTGATTTGTTTGGTTAATAATAATCGTGATAATGTGACATATGTCAAACTATATGTCAAACACATGTCAAATTAATATCCTAATAGCACAACACATTCGAAAGATATTCAGAGGATATCCAGACGACATTCGAACATCTTCAGGATATTCTCTGAACGTCTTCGGGATATGTGTGCTGTTATATATATGTTTTATTCGAAACCAGGAAGGAAGAAAAAAATGTATCGAGAGTATTTAAATATTTAAAAATATGTGTTAAATATTATTACACTTCGGTGGAAAAATAAATATTATGATCACTTCTGCTACGTAAAATTTATGATGGAGATAACGTGGCATTTACATTAATTAAGGAGACAAATCGTACATTCATATTAAAAAAAAAACACGATGATAGATATTGTTGAGTGTTCGACACATAAATGACCTCCAAATATTTCGTATGTGTAGAGATATATGATTATGAGGACGATTTAAAAGCGTGACGCTATGACGTCATTGTGTGTGATCTTAGATCTTAGATCGCATAAGAAATAGGATGGAATTTGATACAACTTATTATCTCGTTCTTGAACACGAGCTATTCATCAAGTAGTCTCCAAGATAGCGCAAATAATATAATAAAATGTGCTGGCTGTTGAGTGATATATTATCGAGCCGATATTATTCAAGTCATTTTACGATTTGCATTAACCAAAATAATAGTTGTTCTACTCTTTTTATTGCAGTCGGAAGGTATTTAAGAATAATTTTTTAAAGTTTTTAAAACATTTTATAATTCGAAGTTTATTCTGGCATTTTTGAAAAGATGTATTATTTATAAAATTGTCTTATCAAAATATTTCTTTTATTCCGAATATTAAAAATAATTATGTTTAAATAATTATATTATTTTTATAATAAATATAATATTTTTAATATATAAAAACAATTTTTTTATTATGTTTTTATGCAATATAATATAATTTATATATTTTACAAATATTTTATAATATATATAAATGTAATAAATATATTTTATATATATATTATATATAATAAATAATTTATATAATATGTAAAAATTTTTTTTATTTCTTTTGTATAACAATTTATACAAAAATTATATCATTTTAATTTGATTTATTCGCTCCAATAATTACAAAAGAATTCGGAGAATTTTATAATCTTTGTAGAACGTAATAAATCTAAATTTTTTTTATTACAGGCATCTCGCTCTTTCTCAGAAATATTTATATTGCAAAGTCATATATCACTTTATAACATCAGCTTGTATAAAAAAAAAGAATGTGATATGGTGTTTGTTTATATTTTAATTACGCTAATGAATATTATCGTATTTCAAATATCAATTTGAATTATTTATTACTTTGCTTAATTCTCATGTGAGCTTTAAAATTATATTTGTCCAACACTATGTAAAAATGATAATTTGCGGTTGTTACAATTTAAAATAGTTCGTTAATTCCGAAAATATTTAACAGTTTAGACTCGTGAAGAATAATTACAATATTGTTACAATACTCGTTTTATATGTTTACTATGCTTACAATTAGAGTATTTATTGTGCTATTTTATGTTTACACACAAACATATACAGAACATACTGTGTATATATTTTTTATTTACATGAGATGTAGAAAAAAAAAAATTGTTTTCAATGAAAAAATAAACTGTTTTTTTTTAAATTTTGTATTAAAAGATATTATATTTTTATATATGATTTAATATCTTTATATTTTTATCAAGGAAGATTACTCTGCTTTATTGTTAATGGGAGGGAATGAATTAATACTACCTTAGAATGTTTTGTATACTTAATTATCTGGAATATTTTTATTCTTTTTGATACGATACATTTAAAAAAAAAACACTTTACACTTGTTAATGGGACAATTATATAATAATAAGAGAATTTTTTCTTTAGATCTCTTGAAAGAGCTGGGATCAAGATTATTTTTTTTTTTAAATTATTTTTGTTTGCATCATTTTATAACTGTCATCGAAAGTTCAACGACTTGTAACATTATGCAAATAATCTTGAATATAATAAATTACATAATATTCGAAGAAACTAACAACATTAAAAAATTTAATTTATGCCTTAAATTTTAACATAAGAATTTATTTCAGGAAGAGATTTAAAATAACATCAACCTTTGATAGATTTTTCATTATTTCTAGTGTGATGGAATTACATGCTTAAAAGATACAACAACGATTACGAGATCTTTTTGCATGCAATTGTTATGTAATATTTGATGCACATAAATTCCTTTTATGTTTGTAAACAGAATATCAATGATCCTTTGAAAGCAAGCGAGAACGAATTCTTCAAGCATGTAATTTATCGCAGAAATGGAAAACGTAAAAAGAGCCATTCTTTGTCGAAAATATATTATACATATATATTAATTTTTAATATGATTTATGCAAAAATTATTAATTATTAATTATTAATATTATTTATTCAAAAACTGATGGATCTTTTAAATATTTTTAAAATTAAGTTTTTGTGTTGAGAGAGATTAATTTTTAATTTTTTTCCTTAAATATATGATCTCCATGCTTCAAATTATCTGAGTCATTAATCATAACTCGTTGGATTTCTTTCGATGTCAATAATAAAATGACGCAAACAGAAACATATGATTTTATTTAAAAAATAATAATATTAATCTTGAAATTTATTAATAAAAAATTCTCGAAAAAAATTGTGTACCATTATAATTATTTTCTTGAACAATAAAGGTATATAGTAATATTTCTTGTTGAAAAATAAGTCGAAAATTATATATTTATTTGCTAAATGTGTTTGCACATCTATATTCTTTATTTTTTCTTTTATTCCAGAATTAATAGACGCGATTCCCGTATAATTGTACACATATATACACAAATATACACACAAACACACACAAAATTAATATTTACAATAGTAGGAAAGGAACTTTATTTTAATAAAATATATAAAATAGAAAATTAATAACAAGTTATTGTAATATATGACATTAATTAAAAAAGAAATAAATTTCTTACTAAATAATTATAATCTATATTTCTCGAGCTTGCAAGAAAGTCTGAAAATTATGGGAATTGTTTATTAGCCTGAGCCGATAATATAAATTAATATTAAGAAATATAAATTACAGATTTGCATGTTTTTGTTATTAAATGGCAGATTTTCCGTCGAGATATTTGCACAAAGTTTATACAAAGTGTAACAAAATAAATATGTCGAGAGAAAAATGTGCTTCTCCGAAATAGCGGCCCACATATTTTTGTTACACTCTGTATAGCGATACTCGAGATATAGAAATCGAGATATAGCGAATATTTGTGCGATTGCGATCAAGATTTCTCGTCGGCATTCTTTGCGCGACAATATAATACTCGCAATTCAAATATGTGACGTCACGCTCCAATTTAAACGAACTGTCGACTGATACCGCGCGCTTATCGGCGCGCTGCGTTTCTTTGTCCTTAAATCGCAATTTTAATTTACAAGTCGATAAACACACTCCGACTTTCAACGGGAAGATCGTATCGTATTTTTCGATCGCCATAATCTTATCGCCGCGCCGTTAGAAAAACAATTGTAATCAATTTTTAGTGCCGTATCTTTTCTTGGGTCTGACTTCCGTAGCTAATTTTCGTGGAGTGAACGTCAACATTACGTGATTTTATTGCCCGGTGATTACTAACATAAGACAAGCCTCCGCAAGAAATTACATAATGAGTTTTTATTGCTGATTTAATACTTCATGACTAATGATTCTAACATCATTGTTTAAATTATCTCACGATTACGACTCTTATGTCAATTATATAAATATATGTTTTCAAATTGCTCGACCTTTGTGAAGATCATTGTGGGTCACAAATAGACGCATGTTCAATCGATTTTATTTGCTGATTATTTACATTATTAGGGCTGACACGATAAATATTTAACAAAAAAATTATTTACACACTACTTACCACGCTTGGCTTTTAATTATTTCGTTCATCCTTTATTTGTGGATTTAATTTTTTTTTCACAAAGTTTATGTGCAAATTTAATAAATTTTATATTGCAAGAGAGAACAAAATAATATTAAAAAATTATATATATAATATATATAATATATATTTTTAATATCTAATTTAGAATTTTAATATATAATTTTTAGTTGAATAAATATTTATATTTGGAAATACAATATTAATAGAATATTTTAAATAGAATTTTAATAGAATATTTTATTTTTTAGTATAAGAATTAAAACAATTTTTTCTATTTGTATTTTAAAATATATATAAAGATTTATCCAGCTAAAAAGTATATAAATTATATTAATGTAAATATATATAATTTTTTATACTATTAGTTTATAAAGAAAATAATAAAAATAATTGAAAATAATAATAAAAATTGAAAAATAGAAAAATATAATAATTTTTGCAGTTTATTAAAAAAAAAAAAAAATAAATAAGGTTGGTAAGATTAAATTATACAAATTTCTATATAATTTTGTATAATTATATATATATATATATATATATATTTATATATATACAATATGTGTGTGTATAAAACTATATTTATTGTATAATCTATTTTCAACTTTTTAAGAAATTCTTTCTATAATACGAAAATTATATATAATGCTTCTATTTATCATTTAATTAATTTTCTTATTATCTTTTCTAAACAAAGAGTGTATAGAAAAAAAAATATACAATCACAATCTCCGTTTTACTAGCGTAAAGGTAAAATAAAATAAAATAATATGAAGCAGGCTGCAATAGGATTTTTAATTACAATTTTAATTAGGATTAATTAACGCGCAATTTTTACATTTTATAGCGCTTTAAATATACATAATCGCAATTTAATCGCATATATCTATTAACAATGAGTGCGCTCATGCTACCTTTTTTTCTATGACGTAAAGCTGTAGGAGCGTATCGAGAAT